CAATCCCTAATGCGCTAATGAATATGGATGCAGGGATCGGTCTCTTCCCTTCTGTAATTAATCTTGCCTCCATCCTACTGGGTCATCTAATGAGCAATACTCAGACAAATATTCCCCCGGAGTCATGAGCCTCAGCGATTCCTCGGTTGCACACATCAAAGGGGGGCTGGTGACATCATGGAGATCACAGAAAACATCAAGTCTGTCTGTCTGAGGGGGAAAAAATAGCTTCTCGCAGATCCACAGCTGGTGGGGCTTTTAATTACACAAGGGCCAAGGAACATTCCAACCATAACATCCTGCAGCCTTTCCGCCACCAGACAACGCGTCTTTTATTAGTGTAGGAATGTATCTTTAATAAACTGGAGGTTTTTAACTTGTCAGAGGGTGCCGGGGACTGGACCCACTGTGGTCTATTTTGGCCTGGCTGTTGTATCAGCAGCAGGGCAGGTCGTCCCCCCCCTGCCCTGGTCCACTGTGATGCTTGCTGCTCTCCCTGCACCCTCCGGTCCCAGGCACCCCACGCTCCTACAAGGGGGTGACTCGCTGGACCCTCCACGGGCATCTCACAGCATCTTCCTTGAGATCCCACCCAAATCCACCCATGCCCCCGCGAGCAGAGGGGCTGACAGCACATCAGAGCTGTGAGTGAGGTTAAAGTCATTACGACAAAGGGGCGAGCCCATTCTGCAGCCTTAGTGATCTCTGCCGTCGTCAGCGCTGGGGTTTAGGGGGGTGTTCCTTGTAAATAAATTTGGTTTTCTCCAATTCCAAAACTACTGTAGCCATCTTCCTCACCTCTGTGTGTGTATATATATGAATAATGTATGATCCCGTGTAATTCAGCAGAGTTTGGGCCTTTATTTGAGGTTTTCCTTCACCCTGCTTAAGGCAGCACCCGAGGGAAGGTGAGGCTGAGCAGTTGCTCCACCAAGTAACAAATCTCCCATATTGTTCCCTCTCCTTTATTTTTCCTGAGCGGGCAGTAGCAAGGCAGCCTGAAAAAAGCGTGCTGTGTTTCCGAGGCGTGCAACCCTGCAAATGGCTGTTTGCTTTAATCAATCCTGGAGGAGCCCGTGGGGCCGGGAGAGGTGCGACACCAGAGATTTGTTCTATTGATTAACCCAGCGCCGGGGATGTGAGGAATCAGACATGGGGAGTGGATAAAAGCCTGGGAGGTGAACAGGGCTATTGTCAGGTTTGGTTTGCAGGTTATTTGGTTTGGGGGATTTTATTTTTATTTTCCTACCTGCGGGGCTGAGAGAAAGCAGAGTAACTTTTCTAATATTCCTCCCTGTTTCAACTTCCCTGGGTAACACCACACGCCAGAGAGACACCCCCCGCCCCCTCCACTTGCCAGCCTAAAGTAAGATTTCACATTATTGCATCTGACAGCTCTTATTCCTCAGGCACTTTCTTTTTCCTTCCTCAAAGGAGAGAAAAAAATATCAAAGGTTTCAAAACCTGAGCACTTTCTGAGACCGCAAAATGCAGCCCCGTGTCGGGAGGGATGCTCTGAGCCGGCAAGCAGGAGGGAGGGTGGATGTGATCCTGCACAGCTTGGGAAGAGTTACATTTGTTTGACACTGCATTTGCCTTGGGCCTTTGGAAGATGTTTGTAGTTTTCAATTAATCTCATTAGTTTGGAAGTAGATGGAGGGGTGGGAAGGCAGGGAGGAGAGGCGGGAAATAAAAATAATTTCACGGGGAATTCTCTTTAATGACTTTTTAAAAACGTGTAATTGAAATCGGTGCTGGTGAAAAATGTTTTAATAGTGCTGAAGCTGGCTGAGGGAAAGCAGCAAGAAAAACCCTTGTATGAGGGATCTGCTGGGACAGGGCTGGGCCGGGGGGGCACAGGGCTGCCGGGGGGGCTGGCATGGGGACAGCAGCAGGATCGGGACCCACGGCCAGGTCCCCCAGGCCTGGGCTCCACCGGTGAGTCACCCCAGCTGCTGCAAAGCCCTGGGAGAGCCCTACTTGCTATCATCGAGTGAGCTTTTAATTTCCTTTTGCTGCTCTCCTGAGGTTGAATTTGCAAGCCTGGAAATAGTGATTTCTGCAGCTTGCCTCTGCCTCGCTTGCCGAGGAGCTGCCAGACCCCCGCGGGTGCAGGCGGCCACTATTCACCCGCTGTGGTGACACTGGGATGACGCGGGAGGTGGCTTGGGGTGAGGACAGGGCACGGACTGGCAGGGCTCCAGCCCCTCCATCCCTGGAGGGATGGCCAGAGGAGGGATGGAGCCTGCCCGTGCACTCAGGGCATGAAAACCTCCCTGCCTCATGGTAACCACCCCCAGCATCGCCCCTGCCCACGGGAGGGGAGCCCAGCACGCTTCGGGGGACACGGGACACACCGAGCATCCATCCAAATTCACTGCATCCCAATTAACCACACATTCAACAGAGAGGGAGAACTGTTTGGTGAGAGAGGTATCTCCTGCTCGGGTTTCGGGGACGATCCTGTAGCAGAGACCCCCACCTGCCCCCCCCCCCCCCACACCCAGCGCTGCCCCGAGCCCCACGCCGACCCAGCACAGCCATCTCACCACAGCCTCCCCGGCAGAGGTGTGCCCTCCTCTCCAGCCTCCAGGCTGAGCACTTAATTGATCGGATTATCCCTTATTTACTAATTAGCAGCCTTGTGCTCAGACGGCGGGAGCGGGGGCCAGCAGCGCTTTCCCTTTATACCCAAGCAGTTGGTGTTTGACGGCGGCAGAGGCTCCGTCAGCAATTTACTGTGATTCATTTCTGCCGTGTAAAACTGAAACTTGGCACGGCGCTTTCCCAGGAGCAAAGCGACGCCGCCGGGAAGAGGCAATGCCAGACTCTGCCCACCTTTTAACTTGTCTTATTTTTCCTTATTCCACACCAGGGTTTGGTTTGCTGTGTTTAACGAGCTCTGTAATTGCTGTCAGAGAGAAAGTCTGCTGCTCCATGTAGGTAGCACTAATAGAGAAGAGATAACTCAATGCAGGGGACATGACACTGACACCCAGAAGACTTGGCTTTTGTCCCAAAATCATTGCCCGCTGTAAAGACACATCCTCTTGTCCATCAACCACCTCTCTCCATCCGCCCCATGCCGCGGTCCACACTGCAGTGTCTCACTGTGGGTGTTCATCCACCCTGCCCCAGATCAATACTCACTGGCTAATGCCACCAGCAGTCAAGCAAATTAATTTGTGTCCACATGCCTGGGGAGAGGCAGACTACAGGATTAGGCCCACTGTGTCACCAGATGATACTTTTATTCCCCCCTAACTCTTAATTAGTGAGAATGTGGGGACTTGGGGAAAAAAAAAAAAAAATCACCTAGCACCATAATATCTTCTCTTTCCTCCCCTTGTTGGCCATTCTACTCCTGCCACCCAACCAACCACCTCCGTTGAAGGACAGAAAAGAGCAAACTATGACAGAAATATCCATCCATCCTTCGCAGCAGAACCTGTGAGGTCGGCGAGAGTGGCCCAAGAGTGTAAGATGCTAAAACGATGATAAAACAACAGTCAAAGAAAAAGGCTAAGGGGTGTGTTGCCAGACTGAATAAATCAGATAGCTGGGGAGGAAGGACACTTAAATCCACTGATGATCCATTAGCAGGCTCTGTGAGGAGATGTGAATCTAGCTTCTGAGCCAGAGAGCACAACTTTTGACTTAATAGCAGCCAAAACCTTGCATGTGTTACTTAGAGGTTTCCCGGGGCCACACACACTCCAACACCTTTCCTTACCAGAAGCCAGTTACACAAAAGGGAAGTTTGCTGTAGGAGAACATCTCGAAATACACGTCCATGGGTCCAGGTCGCTCTGTTCCGGGGCTGTCAAGCGTGGAGGGTGTGGGGCAGGGATGCCGGGGCTGTGGGATGCACGTGGGGCCCAGGGTGGGGGACAGGCTGCTGCCGGGTGGCTTCATCCCGGCGGTCAGACACCGCGACACGGCCCCGGAGCTGCCGGCTCCCGGCTGACCGGGGGGCAATGCCGGGGCAGGGGGGTACAGCGGGGCAGGTCCTCCCCCCACCACTGCGTTTGCTCTCCTGCCAATGGATCGGTTGTGCTCGGAGGGCTCTGGGCTGTATGTAGGTCAGGCACATCGCCGGCTCCGGCACCGCCATGAGGTTATTAAGATGAACAAGAATCTCCCCTTCTCTCTCCATTCAACCCCCTCGATGCCCAGCCCTTGGCGGAGGGCAGCCTTGGCTCTCCTCCAACAGAAGAAGAGCATTTCTTTGAGGCTTTGGGCTCATCTGAGCAAAGCCAGCATGTGTGAAGCTCCTGGACCAGTACGGACGCTGTGCCCTGTACATCCCCTTGAGCAATGAGCTCCCTGTTTGTCTGTGCGTGAGGAGAGCTCTGTGCTGGGCGGGGAACGGGCAACATGACCCAATTCATGGTTTTCTGTCAATAAGGTTGGCACTGCTCCCTCTCAGCTTTGTGAAACGGATGGGGCTGAATCAGCTCCCAGAGAAGGGGGGATTTTTCTGCCAGGGCCCACTGCAGCCCCCCCCCCAGGCAGGCTGGGCAGCCCCAGGGAGGAGGGAGCTGGATGTCCCACACGTGGTTGCTCTCCTGCTGGGGCAGGAGAAGATAAGAGACATCCTAACCTTCAACCTTGGGAGCCTCTGGTTTTGGCCACCCAGCTTTGATTCCCCCTAGAATCCTTTATCATTCAAAGAGGAAAACCAAATCCTCTGGGAGCTTGGGCTCCTCCCAGGCTCGGTAGCTGGAGGGAGGGGGAGGCATGGTAGGAGCGAGAGAGCAAGCAGAGAAGAAACTTTCTCAAATAAAAAATATTCAGTGGTTTAGAACAAACTTTGCACTAGCTGAAGATTTGACCTTGTGTTCTCTCCTAAGAACAAACAAGAGAAGAACGAGGATCATATTATTTTGCTTGAAATTTGGAGTGGATCAAACCCCTGCTGTTCCGAGCTCCTGCAATGAATGGCTATAAACAACATGCATTTCCGGAGAATGAATTAAACAGCAAGCCTGAGTACTGACTGTATTTTAAGAGATGTTTATTTGTCCTCATTGCTTCTCTATAAAGGGTTGCACAAGGACTTACTAAATTTTAACCCCGCATTGTTCTTGGGTAAACACAGCCCTCCATCCAACGTGAGAAGAGCTCACAGCCCAAATAAGCACACGTTAGCTCCTGCTCTCCAGAGCACGCAGCCTCCCAGCAGCTCCCGAGGCAGCCCTGGCCATCAGCACTGCACGCAGACCCCAGGGCAGCCAGATCATTCCCGATTGCCCGCAGACCTCTGACAGTTTTCTGCACTTCTCTGCCAAAAAGTTTTTCGCAAGGAGGTGAGGAACCACCTTGACCTGCAGAAATGTAGCCGAGCCGGTAACTTGCATCTCAGCTCCTCTCCTTTTTTTACATTATGGAAAGGCAAAGGGTGAGAAACCATGAATGCTGGCCAAATAGCTGAGCTATTCCCCACCAAGTCAAGTCCAGGGGACAGCCTTGTCCGGGGGTCCTCCCGCCCCAGCTCCCACCACATTGTGGAACAAGTGCTGCGGTGGGTGCGTGGGTCCTGGTCCATCTCTCGCGTGCCCTTCCCGCAGGAGAAGATGATGGAGGGAGTGAAGTACTGAGAGCTGCCTCCTCCCGAATTTGCACTCTGTCACACCCAGGATCACTGGTGAACACACAGAAAAGGCTAAGGGGGATTAATACCACCGCATACTCTCTGTCTTCTTTGATTTCCAGTGTCTAAACAGCTGCACTTTTGGACCATCTGCTGGCATCCAGTGGGGTGGGGAGTTAGGTCTGCACAGTCATTGGCATTCAAGCAGGAGGAGCAGCCTGGAGTGCAGTATTTCTGGGGGGAAAAAATGGTTTTGCTGCTCGCGACAGAAAGACTAACTAAAAGCATGAAAAGCAAACCCCAGTGCCTCGGCATGGAAGCCAGGCCAGCTCTCCCTGCCTCACCAGGAGTCCCTGAGAAGTCCCTACCCCGCTGCTTTTCAGGGTGCTTTGGGGCATTTCCCCCACTTTGGGGACATAGCCACATGAGATGAGATGCTGAACGTGATTCTCCAAAAAAAAAAGAAGGATCTGTGCCTTGTAGAAACATTTCTGAACTCATGTTTGTTCCCTCTCCTGGGTCTGGGCAGAATGTCAAAGCCTGCTCTGAGCTGGAAATATTTTAAGACTAGCACTCACTGGAGACTGAAACAATGGCAATTCTTCAGCTACCGAGGCTTTTATAAAAGGGCTTTTGACATAGAGGCTGCTTAGGCTTGGGGGTTTTTTGTAGTTGGTTTTTCTCCCAGAAAATACTGTGCTCGTGTCCACGTGCATGTTTGTGCGCACACTTTTGCGTGTGCAAAATAACCTCTTGGCTTTCAGCTGGGCCGTTCGTGTGAAGGCCCACGAGGATGCCCGCGGCCCTGCTAAAATGCAGCCAAGCTCCGGCGAGGAGGGAGGCAGCGCCGCTCACACGGGATGCCATGCAGCGATGCAGGAAGAAGACATTTTAGAGTAAATGTCAGCTTTTGCGTTTCTGGGTTTGGGGCTTTTTTTAAACATGTGGGTGGGACTTTTAATGCCCACATGAATCTGAGACAGTTTCAGTCTCCAGGGCTTATCCAGAAGATTCACACAAACACTATGGAAAGTGTCTCTTTGCTTAGGAGAATGAAATTTGACACTGCAGAGATTTTAACCCGGTATTCCAGCAAGGAGCCTCAGTGGTTAGTGTGTCATATCTGATAAAGGCTAATCAGCCCTCCTTCAGGCACCATTCAATTCTTATTTCCATCTGCCTCCCGTGCATATTGCGTTATCTATGATATGTACTCACATGCAGGCAAACCGGTGCAAACTCTGCTCAGCTCTGCTCTTCCCTTGACACAAAACCGAAAGGCAATGAGAAGTGTGAAGAAGTACACGATGGACCCCACAAACAGAGCCCTTGCAAACAGCCCGGGCGGGTCTTCAGCATTACCTGGAAACCAGCAGCGTCCAGCACCAGTTTGCGCTGGTGTGGGGACGGGACCCCAATGGGGAGGGGGATTCCTGCCCAGCTGCTGGCCCCAGTGCCTGCCCCGCTCGCGCCGTCCCACCGAGCCTCCTCTCCTTGCTAGGTGTCTGAAGCCTCCTCAACAATTATCCCTGTTGCTGTTTGTTCAGGCGATGTGGATTTAGCTCTCCAGCCTCACGTGTAGTGTGTGTATAGGGAAAGATAGATTGCCGCTACTTTCCAGTATAAATCACATTCCTTACAACACTCCAAAGTAGCATTTTCAACCTCAGGGTGCTAATAGGATCCAGCAGGAGAAAGAAATGTCAGCTAAGTAGCAGGCGCTGTTTGGAGAGTGCAATGGAGCTGATCCGCAGCCCCGGGGCAAAAGGAGCAATCCCAGGGCAAAGGTTAAAGAGTTCAGGAGCACTTCAGCCTCCTTAATTGCAACAGGCCTCTTACACAGCGCAAGATGGATGACTCCAGCCGGGCAAGGGGGGCAGAGCGGGGCCAGCAGCATCACCAGGCGCAGGCACGCAGGCGGCCGGGGGGACCGCGGCGGAGGGGACCGTGATGGAAAGCACCACGGCAGCTCCTCACCCCTCTCTTCTCCCCAGGGTGCTGCTGGATGGCAAGGTGGCTCATGTCACACCGGGATCCCCGGCCGTCGGCTCTGTCCCCTCCGCTGGGACCCTCGTCCCCAGCTTCGGCTGATAAATGGGGAATTTACATCGGGGCGGGTTGGTGCCGTGGGGGTTTTGTTGCAGGAGCTCAGCACAGCACTCACCCAGGCAGATAAATAGCTGGTAGCGAGAACTCCAGCTGCCAAGGAAATGTTTCTTGCTCCCCTGAAAATCATAAGGAACATTTTAAGGGGAAAGAGGGAGAATTGGTTAGTGTTGCTGTTCTTGTCATTTTTACAGGATTTATTTTCTGATTTCCTTTTATTTTGAATCTTCAGAAGCTGAGCATGTTTTGCATCAGCCCCAAGGTGCTTCTGCTGGGAAGGTGCCTCAGATAGTATTTTCAGTAGAGTTTTGACTTGTTTTCTGACACACATCTGATAAATGTCATCAAAAGCTAATGTTTTGCATGGAAAAGGTCTTCTGCATTATTTTTCTTATCTAAAGAAAAAAAAATTAGAATAAAAATATTTCATTCATTTCTCACCAGTGAGGCTTATGCTGTTTCCCTGGTGATAAAAGCACAAGGCTGGCTCTTGAGACATACGCATTTAATTCCCAGCTCCACCACACACCCCCGCGATGACCTTGAACAAGCCACTTAGGCTCTGATCCGCAGGGGATGAGATTTTTCTGTTAAAGCTCCCGTTTGGCCTCTTCGGTTGGGATAACGTCTGCAAAAAAAAAAACGTTCCTTTCACACAGGCACCCTGTTCCCCACCCCGTCGCCCACCCATCCCACGGGACCCCGCTGGAGGGGCTGCCCTGCGTGGGTGCTCCTTCCCTGCGCCCCGAAGCCCACCTGGGTGGGTCGAGGATGCCCTCTCGTGGGAAGAGCCAGGCTCAGCCGCCCTCCCAGCGCCCCGCGGGGACGTGGGCAGCCCCACGGGTGGCCACAGGTACCCCTGGCCCCGCGCTCCCCCTGCCCCAGGCTGGTGCGGATACCCTCAGCACCCCCCCGCCCTCCAAGCCCGCTGAAATGTCCCCCATCCTCCCCAGGATGCAGCCCTGCTGTTGGGGCATCACCAAAACCTTTCCAGGGCAAAGCGTTCAGCACCTTTTATTGAGGAGAGGGGAGAGGAGGGCGTCCTGCCTACCTGTAAGAGCAAGGACGGGGGTAGCCCTGCTCCCAGTCCCCCGCACGAGGGTCCCACAGCCCCCACCCCAGCCCTGGGGGGCTCAGGAGAGGAGCAGAGCGGCGAGGATGCAGGGCAGCAGGATGCAGCCGCCAGTGAAGGCGGAGGGGGGCCGGGGGGCTCTGGGGGAGCCGTTGCAGAGGTCTGTGTCGCAGCAGTGGATGCGGACCCCCGGCAGCTCCTGCTGCTGGCAGTGACGGGAGGTGGCACAGCCGCTGGTCAGCAGGATGCCCAGGACCACTGCAAGGCAAGCACAGCGCAGGACGTCAGGGACAGGGGGACAACGGTGACAGCCGGGGTGGGGGTGATGCTCTGCCAGCCTGCCACCAGGGCCAGGCCCAGTTTGAAGGCTCTGAGGTTTGCTTTGGGGTGCGAGCATCACCGGTTTGATCAGGCACCCCCCGTGAGCCCAGCCCACCCCCCCGGGCAGACTCACCGCTCTCTGTTTTAATGCAGAACCGGTGTTTGAAGCCCTGGTGGGAGTGGGAGCAGGTGATCACCTCTGGGTTAGAGCACCCCATGTCCACGTTTTTGGTGCCAACGATGATGTTGCAGCCATAACACTGGAGTCCGGACGCTAAACAAGAACCAGATGGAACAAAAGTGGATTTTTCCAGGGGAAAAAACACTTCAACTCCTTCCTAGCTGCTCTCTAACAACGGCTTTGCAGCGCTCTCTGCCTCGCCAAGTCGCATTAAGCACTGAGCCAGAGCCCGAAGCTGTCTGCAGCTTGTTTACCCAGTGGGCCCCAAAAATATAAAAGTATCTCCCGCTAGAGGTCAGTGCAAAATCAGAGATTAGCTGGGGATTTGCACTGGTATCAAATAATGGGAACAAGGGAGCTTTGAAACAGGGTTCGTAAAGAGTAGGTGAAACCTCCCAACCACAGACACCACCGAGCCAGGGCTCCATCGCGCTCGGAAACAGCTTTTGCCTGTTTCACCAAATTCCTCCAGTTTCAGCTGCGCCTGTGTCGGAGGCATTCACACCGGAGGGATGGGTTCATCGACGTGGTTTGGTTTTCTCCGGGAATGCGGTCCTGCTTTTATCACAGGATCTATCAGGGAGGCAAAACAACTCAGAAACAGAAGGGAAATCCTCTTTCAGAGCAACTGCAAGGCAGCATGGCTGTGACCCCGGGACTGTGGCGTTGGTGAGTGTCCCCAGAGCTTTGCACGCTTGCACTGGTGGCAGCTCAGTCCTTCTCTGCAGGCTCAGCAACTGTCTGAGAACTGCTTGCCCTAGACAGGAATGGGAATTAAGTAATTTCTCAGGTTTCTTTAAAAAAAGACGCCTTCAAAGGATATTCATTTACGCCATCCAAGGAGTTTAAGGCAAACGCAGTACCTGATCTCTGTGTTGATTAATCACCGCAACAAAAATCAGCTTGCACTTACCGCTGCCGTTATCTTTCCCTGCCTCTGAATGCCGACCCCGAGCCCTTCCCCAGCCTGGCCTCGTCTGCTCCCACGGGGTTTTTGGGAGGTGGGTGAGCACCCTCGCCCAGCCGGGCATGGTGAGGGGTGACCCTGCCCCAGCAGCACTGGGGAAGGGGAGCCCAGAGCATCCTGGCTCCTGGCCCACCCACCCACACCCCCCCCCTTGTTTTGTGCAAAAGTTGATGACATTAGCTCCTTCTAAACCCCACCAATGCACAGCAACATGCAGCCACATCACTTGGGGCGGGAATGCCCCCAGATTCATCCCGAGGATAAATCACACCTTAACAACCAGGGTTTGGGAAGGATCAGAACGACCGTAACTCCAAAGCACAGGCCCACTCTGCACCCCGGGGACAGCGGCACTTACCCTCTGGGAGGATGGACACCACGGTTATCAGAGAGAGGATCCCATGGGCACCTCCAGGCATGTGTCCTGAGAGCAGGGGGGGTCAGCTCCCGGAGCCCACCCGAGGTCGGAGGATGAACACCGGTGTTTGGGGGAGCAGGCAGAGACCACCTCTCCTCCCGGCTCTTCCCCCCGGCCGGGCACGCCGTTTGCTTTTCACCTGCAAAACCCTCCACCAGAATAAAAGGTGCAGCAGAGATCTGGCAGCTCCCCGCTTCTCTGGCCAGCCCCGTGGCGCCCAGTCTTGTTATGTCAATGCTTAATTTCTCCCTTTTCCTCTTGAGAAATTCTCCAATTCTTTCAGTTCATGCACAGACGTGAGTGCGTATGTGCTACCCTCGGTTATTTCTGTCCTATTTCCTCTGTCCATGATCACTTCCCATTAATGCTACCGTGCAGCAGCTCTTGGAGAGAAATTCTCCCTAATCAAGATTTAGCTTTAAATCCACTTCGAAATCCTCTAATTCAGTTGGATTACGCAGAAGGGGTTTGGGGAGATGTGTTTTTACTTTTTTTTTTTCCCTCCTCTTTTTCCTCTCTGAGTTGCCTCATCTTCACAAACGGACCCACAGGCTTTCTGTGACATATTGTGCTATTTAAAGAGGGCAGGAATAATTTTATTAAAGAAAGGCTGTCAACTAATTTTAAATCCAAGGCTTGAGATTCTCTACCAAAGTACAGCCCTGGGGATGGCCATGGGGTAAAAGGGAAAACCTGATGGAGACAAAAGCGGGATTGAATGTAACAAGCATTTGCATACAAGAAAATAGTTGCCTTAATAAAGCAACAAGAGGCCAAAGGGGGCCAGCCCCGGGCTTGCGTTGGCTCTGGAGGGAGCCTGGCTAGTGGTGCTTGGGAAGGTGGCCAGGGGCACAGTGAAGGAAAGCACTGAGCCATGATGGATCTGATCCTGCAGGACCAGGATCAGAGCCACAGCCACATGAGGCATCACAGACGTCACCAGCTGCAGGATCAGGCCCCCAGACCCCTGTTGGCTCTGCCACTGTCGTCCCCACAAGCAAAGCCCCAGCTCCCAGTAGAGCCAATGGGACTTAGAGAGCTAATGCTTACTAATAAGAGACCACGACCGAACGCATGGGATTAAAACATTTAAATTACAAGATAAACTGTTTACGTAGCTCATCCAGCACCTGAAGTCCCCCGCCCCAGGCACCCCAACCCCCAGGGCAGATCATGGGCATCTCTTCCTCTGCCAGACACAGCTCCGGGCCGGGCAGGGGCTCGGACCTAATCTTGTTTCACTGAGAAGCATCACAAAATTGTCCAAGTATGGGCATCTACAGCTCAGGAGGGGCAATTAGCACCTGCCAGAAGTGCCTAAGTAACGCAGGTCATTTATTCAAATCACTTAAACTACCCCCAGTGTCTCGCTTGCCTCAAAACAATGTGATTATAACAAATGTCTAACACGGCAAAGCCTGAAAGCCTTGGGGAGAAGGGATAAAACGCAGGAAATGGGATTGATTTAAACACTTGCCTAAATCAGAGCATTCAATAAGGAGGGGAAACTAACTTTTAATCCCTTAATAAACTCATCGGTATCTGGAAGGGGCGGCCGGGAGCAGCCCGGGCTCTGCTCCGCGCAACGCCGGGCCCAGCATCTGGTTTCCGCGGCCTCATCCTGCAAAGCGGCTCCTCCGCGGGCACCGGCCGGTCCTTCCCGCGGGGAACGGAGCGGGGAGCCCCGGGAAAGCCGCGGAGCCCAGTCCGGGGGCACAAACCCCCGGTGTCGGTGTGCCCAGCGGCCGGCTGCTGGGGTGGGTAACCGCGGCGGGAACATCACCCAGGCGCCAACCGGTTTGAGGTGCCGCTGGCGTCGATTTAGCCAGACGTTTGCTTTGATTCTGCATCCCTTGGGATTCTGCATCCCTTGGGATGCAGAAAATAAAGACCTTTAGAAGAGGAGGGGAATAAACCCCCCAACTCTGAGCCCGCTTCCACAGCTGGAACCAGTGAATGCTTCTTTTTAACTTAAACAGCGCTGATGTGATTCAGAGAGGTTTATCAGCGCAGGGGCACTGGGAACACGTTAGGAAGCAGCCTTCCTCCCCCGACGGAGGAAAATTTGATTAGCAAATCCCGCCGGTACACTCGTGTTCCCACTTAAACCTTCGGGATGCCCGGAAAGACGGCTAAAGCCTGCACGGATTAGACAGGTTCGCCTGCAAATCCTGCTTTAGGGCTCAGCCCGACGGGAGGCAGCGCTCAGCGCACGGAACCCACCGCCGTGTGTGTGTGTGTGACCCCACACACCCCCCCCCCGTGTCCCCGTGTCCCCACCCGCGTTCGCGTTCCCGGGCTCCGCTCCGCACCCGCCACAGGCGGGACTCGAACACTCGTCCTTCAGTCCCTCCCGCCGCCATTAGCGAGGCGGGAACCAGACGTGCCCTCCCCCCCCCCCCGCGCTGAACGCGACCGCTGATTGGGAAGCGCGCCCGTCCGCCAGGGGGCAGGCGAAGAGGATGGTGGCGCCGCACTCTGATTGGTTAAAGGGGATGAATATATTAAGAGGGCTGGAGAAAAGCGCGCCTCTGGGCTACTTTAACGGGGTTTTTCAAGGTTTTTATAAATCATACGGGAAGAAAGTAAAATGATTTATCAGTTTCAGGAAGATATGTTAAACTGAGAAGGAATAAACCAGAAACTTTTCCTCACGCAAACCTTAGAGCAAGGGATTGATGGAGGCTTAAATATCAGACGCTGCAGCCCTGCCCGTGTGTTGTATGAAAGGAGAGAAGGTTAGCACTCCCCTTGATAAGGATGGAAGAGGCCCCTGTGGCCTATACAACACGCATACGGTTAAGGCACTGCCACCTACTTCGTGGCATCTAACCATGTTTTTTTTTTTCCATTTTTCGTGTGTGTTGGGGAGCTCCCCCCGGTTTACTTTCGTTCACCCAGATTCTCCTTTTCCCTCTTCCCCAGCAGAGCCCCAGGGGTATAGCTCACTTCCCCTCAGCAGGTTGTGACATGCTTCAACCTCTACCAGCCTGCACCTCACACAAGCAAAGCCACATCTCTCCTACTACGGGGCAGGGAGCCAGCCCAGCCCTTCCACAAACCTTGTTTGCAATATTGTGCTCTAGGAGATTAGCTAATCCTGCCCGTCAAACCCCCACTGACGTGCCAGGCTGGATATAATTATAGCTAAGTAGAGCTCAGGCCAAAAGGTCCCAGCTTTATTCCCAGGTTGAATACTAGGGACTTAAACACAAAGGACAGCTTCCCAGTACATCCTTTAAATCAGGGCGCTGCAGTCTGGCAGAAAAGAATTCCCTTTTCAAATTTCCTCCTGATAGCAGGGAAATCATCTCCACAGCTCTTTGGCTCAGAGGGCAAGGAAAGAGCCACAACACAGCTGAGCAAGCAAAGCCACTCACACACACACAGCTACATGGGAAGCACGATGCCACAAAACCATTCTGAATCTACGTAAGAAAGTTTTGTTGAAGGGATATACCAGCTTCTCCACACTGGTAAAGTGGCACAGCCACATCCTGCAGTTGAAAAGTTTCATTGGTCTGTGAGAGACTGAAAAAAAAATCATGGGGTTAAGAAATTATTTCAGCAGTAACACTCACTAGGGCTAGAGACACAGTGCTCTTTCCTGGGGGTAATGAAAAACCTCAAAACAGTGATATTATTAATAGCCATTTTAGCACCAGCTCAACATGAACTATTTTTATATTTCAAAAAGAAAAGCTATACCTCATGTCTTGCAGCTGTCTTCTTTGCTAAGTGTAAAGCAAGACAGTCTCCGAGCAGCCACTAGAGGAGAGGTTTGTACTGTAATTGATTTTCGGTTATTATGAAGCACATGAGGCTGATACCAAAAAAAATGGATTTTTGCTTCACCAGGAACAAAACAACCCCTTCCAGCATAACCCTTTGGACACAATAAAACTTGTGTCTCAACGCAATTCCTAAGCAGCACAAGCGATCTCCTGGGTCCTCGCTCAGCCTGCCCTGCCCGTCCTGCAAGGAGATGGCAGCAGGATTCCCTCCCCCTCAGCTAAAGGTCTCTGAGAGGGTTTGGACTAATGTTCCCTCTGCTGAGGACACCTTCAAGTTCAATGCTTACTTTCTATAAACAAATTCTGACTTGAGTTATACCCCTCTTTTATTTCTCAGCAACAGATATAAAGCACCACGCTCCTCCTCCTCTTCCTCCTCCCTCAGTGGAACTGTGGCAGAAATACTGACTTCTAAAGATGTTTTTAAGGGAGTCGTCTTTGGACACAGACACTTCACATTAGTACACTCTTACCACAAGCATACACATAAAATCCCACCTTTTTATTATGGCATATGGTATTTTTTTGGATGTGTAAATACCACATGGGTATGACAAAAAGGGAAAGAAATATCAATGCTGAAATAGATACAGAGTCATGCCATTATCAATACAGTTTCATACGATGGATTTTCAAGATACAAAAGTCTGGGGTTTTTTCTTTTTACATTGAAATAACTTTACAGTGTTCTGTGAGCTTGCTTTATAACCAGAAGAGAAAAAAATTAAAATATGCAGAGAACAACTACAAGCAGGATTCATTTTAATGGTTAACAGAAGAACTGTAACTTTGCTCTAGAACAGCATCTATTAAACACACGTAACAAGAGGTAAGCAACTATACAGAAGTTAAGAGGAGATTTCACCACAGGAGTCAAGTCAGGGGCAGAAAAAGGGAAATCTGGAACTGCATGGTTTTATTTGGTCACAAAGTTTGAGCTGTGTTTAAAATGAAGCACCCTTAAAGATGCAGTACTCCTATTGAAAACAATACCGAAACTTCCCAAGAGACTAGAACCTACATTCTGAAAAAAAAAAAAAAAAAATTAAAAAAAATTCAACATTTAAAAAAAATTCCACACATCTCTAGGCTTGTGACTTAACTTACTGTTACAAAGTAGACTGGCAGCTCTTCCTTAAGCAGCAACCGTGCCCAAAAGTAATGCCACCATAAAGTACAGTATCTTTGGGGTGTCCAATACAAGGCTGACACTTCTAACGCGATGTCAGAATGATCCATTTGTTTGCCAAAAGATCAGGCAAGAAAAGGAGACACTGCATATTTTTTTTTTTCCACCATGTTGCCTGGTTCTAGCAAAGAGCTAAGACGTTTTCTTTGGGCCAAGACTAACAGAAACCACTTTATCAAATATTCTTCAGGTTTCCTGCCAAACTGGATTTATTATTCTCATGTGGCTTTTTAATATTTTTTTAAAAACATTTTTTCCTGACAGTCTCTAAAGAGATACTGGAACATTTAACAGTCACTCTTCCACAGTTTAATTGTTTTGTCGTTTTCTAGTGCCGCTGATGCAATGATGTTTTCTGTTGGGTGACAAGCTGTTGAGATTACAACATCTAAACAAAAAGAAAAGATATACAAATATCATTATTTACAGCAGTGAAATCTGGTTCATAGCAAGCATTTCTGAAAATGAATGTGTATTGCTACTACAGTTTAAAACAGCATAGCCAAGTTACTATTTCCTTGTAGCAGAATTATAAATGCATTATTCATAAATATTTTCCAACTACTGCTTCTCTGTGAGAGGAAATACTAGCAAAAAACAATTGAGAGCAGTAGTTGGAAAGTGTTTGACAGGTTTCAAAATAAAAGAACTCTCTAGATTCCGGTTCTTGCTTACTTTACAGACAAAACTCTTGGCATATTAAATCAGAGACAGCTAATAAAAACCCAGTTCAGTTTTTTCTTTCCATGTAAGGTATTTCCAACATCCTATTCAGTGCTCAGATAGTACTTCATCTTCAGAGCCTTGCCCTAGCCTGAAAATTGAAACCTGCTGCCACTGCCCCCACTTACCATCCAAATCAATGATCCTGCAAAGGAATAAGCATGCTTAGATTTCACAGCACAGTTCCTTCTAGTCAGCACAGTGAAAGTCCTGCTCTCTTATGAGATTCAGACTGCAGTATCCATCAGGTGACATCTCAATAAATGCTCAACTCTGCCTTCAAGGACAGGAATATGTACAGACATTTACAAACAGCAGGACCACATCAGTCCTTATCCTTTCAAGAGCGGCAGTTTTGGAAGGTGTTAATAGGCATTTCAAACTCACTATTATTATGAGTCACTTAAATATCTCAACCACTTCTGAACTCAAGGAAATCTCTTTTGTAAGCTGATATCAAAGTTCTCATGGTGAAAGAATAAACACTTGCAATGCCCATAAAATACCCTTCATAAAAAGGAGCGAACTCCTAGGGTTCAATTAAGCTTCAGCCAGAAAAGAATTTATGGGTCTGACAGTCAAAACTAAACATCAGAGAGAAAATGCTCATGCTAAGCCCTCATTACAAGCTGATGTGAGGGATATTGCATCAGTAGAAACAAAGTCCTCTTCCACACCTGTGTGTCCTTGTAATTTCTGTACAATCTCTTTTGTCTGAAGGTTCCAAATATAAACCAGGTTGTCTTCTGAACCAGACACGATCCACTGGAGGGGCAGAGTTAAAAAAAAAAAAAAAAAAAAACAAAAAACAAACAAACACCACAGTTAATCTTTCTCCTCACCTACATCTAACTGATATTATTTGATATTATTCGGTAAACATTTCATTGTCATCGAATGAAAGGGAAAACTTCCAACATTATATGACTGCTTGGTGTGACTCATTCTCTCTCAGCCTCTATTCAGTGCACACAGGTAGCAGAAAGCTTTGTTCCACCCTGTGTATGCCAGAGGAGGAAAAGTAACAGAGCAAAAAGCACTCAGGTGGCTCTGTGTTAGGACTTAATCTTTACTGATCTGTTGTGTCACACCAACATATCACCTGATGGCTGATTGCTGTGTGGCTATGGTGACCAGATACACAAGCAGCTGCTCTCCTGCTGCAGGAAAGGTCTTTTCTGCTGCCACAGTGGCAGGAGCCTTCGGTGGGACAGCGGGCCCAGAGACACACACCAGAGGGGCTCAGAGGGACCTCCCTAGGATCCCCTCCTCTTCTCCCACTGCACTATGGCACCTGAGAACCAGCACCCACCAAAGGAGGTTTCCATTCCCAAACTACTGTTTCTTATACAGAGAAAAGCAGTAAAACCCACACATCTGTAAAAAGCATCTCACATAAACACTAACCTTTCCACCAGTAACGGAGAAATTTGCAAATATGCAGTACTTCTCATTTTTGTGTCCTGTGTACGTCTTCAGGCACTGAAAGTGAAGAGCCATTAATACAGCTGAGAGGTAGTTTTCTCAGTCAAGGACAAACCCACTTGGCAGAAAAGACTAAATATATCTGTGTTTCCCACCCTGCCAACTTATCTAGAAGATGCAGAAGGCATCTCTAGAACGCTAAACAATTTTGGGCACGGGAGGGGAAAAAGCCCTAAATTTGTCACATTACCACAGAGAAAGACAGCAACAGTAATTTATTGTTCAAGAAGAAAAAATAATTAATATAACTTTACCTAATGTCTCACAACTGTGCAGAAGCCAAATCACTTTTTTTTTTTTTTTCCTCCAAAGGCATCTTTAGTCATAGAATTGTAGAATAGTTTGGGTTGGAAAGGACCTTTACAGGTCATCTAGTCCACACCCCCTACAACGAGCAGGGACACCTTCCACTAGATCAGGTTGCTCAGAGCCCCATCTAACCTGGCCTTGAACCCTTCCAGGGAGGGGGCATCTACCATCTCTGGACAACATGTTCAGTGTTTCACCACCCTCACTGTAAAAACTTTCTTCCTTATATCTAGTCTAAATCTACCCTCTCTTAGTTTAAAGCCACTACCCCTTGTCCTATCACAACAGGTCCTGCTAAAAGTTAGGAGCCCTTTATTGGAGAGGACAAACTTTTTTCTAAAGGTTTTATGAAATGTTAAGCAAGCTTAAAAAGCACATACAAAATTCAGATTTTCCTATAAGCTTAGTTAAGCCTACATAGTGAAATAGGATTGTTTTTACCTTTCCTTTGCTGTAGTCCCAAAGTTTAAGAGTGCTAGAAAACAACAAAAAAACAAAGGTTTTAGTTTTTGTTGCTTTCACATGTGACAATTTCCTAGCAGCAGAAAAAGTTTTTCCATACCTGAGTTAAAATCTACATGGAACACTTTAGCCTGGCTTCAGAATACAGTGTTAGTTAACCCCAAAGTATCCATTTTATTGCCATGCCATTCATGTTCTCCTCCATGAAAAGGATGTATTTAAATATTTCCTCACACCTACAAGTTTCTTTATAAATAATGGCCAGACAACTGGGAAAATGATGGGCAGGATAACAGACAGGTTACAGTGAGAGAGGATAAGGTGGTTTGGCAGACAACCCCCAACGTATCCAAAAGATTGAAACAGATTTCATTGGATATCATCTTTCACAGAATGAGAAACCCACTACAACCAGGAATGGCCCTGCAAACCATGCCCTTTCCCCAGCTGTTTTAAAATCAAATCCTGCTGAAAGCAGATACAGACCAAAATACACACACGCTGCCCTAATTTTTCAACTTGTAGTCCTGCACTGGGGTGTTTCAGGGGAGTAAACACTGGACTGAGGCATCCTCAACCCATTCAAGCCTCAGCCCAAGCAGAGCAAGTGAGTAACTATGCTACTGAATACAGTTTGGACACAAAACGAGTCACTTTTTTCAGGCAAGCATTAGATTCTTCCATAGACTAAGCAAGCCCTGTGCATGTCTGGGCATAGACCATCCATACTGACTCCCAGCTTACTGTCAGAGATTGCAAGAGAGTCCCCTTGCTCTTCCCCAGGGAGCCTAACCTGGGTTTTCTCTGCTTTTCATTGACTATTTGAAAAAGGCAGGCAACAGTCTGTGCTATCTTTTGTAAAAAGATGCTCAGACAGGGAGAGCGTCAACCTCACGACCTAGGAAACGAAGGCCTCATGAAAGCAACAGCATCATTACTCTCTGTGAATGGAGATGACAGACCAGCTAATCCCTTCTTAGTAACTGCATGGAAATTCTCCAGGTGAATCATTCTCAATACAACCAGCCCACATGCACTGCTTTTATGCCTTACACACAAAGTTATTTATATACTGCAGTCTTTTATAGGCTAGATTTTCTGTCTCTCGATGTTACAAAAGAATCGTATGATTAATGCAAGGAAGTGCTGAGGTTTTGAAAGGTACAAGAAGGTATGAATGGGTGTTGCAGTCATTAAGCAGTGCCAAGACTTTAAACAACCCAAGTTCTGCCTGTGCCATTAGCAAGCACACCACTCTGCATGCTTTTCAAGTTTGTTAGTGTATATGGACTTGCGCAGTGTCATTCCTACGATAGTTAAAGAGCAGTAAAATAAAGTTTTATCTGATACTCAAACACTTCAAAGCCTGTGGGGTTTTAGTATACTTAGTATACTTTTTTTTTTTTTTAATACTTACTTGTCCAAAGTTGCAGCTAGTATGTATTTGCCATTTGGTGAGAATTTCACAAAAGACACAGGAGGGTTATCATCATCTACAGTGAAAATAAATGCAATATTAAACAGTGCACAGTTGTATTGTCTCATTGACAGAAAATTGCTTTTGACAAGAATTTGTTGTTAATTGCTTCACTGAAACAAGCTTTCAGTTTTCTTGTCCCTTGGTACTTCAAGAAAGAGTTGTAAGAAAGGCGATTGTTTTCACTAAGAAAATGATAGTAAGCATTTTGCTCATAAACATTTTAAATAACCCGTTGTAACTGAACTTTCCTTCCTTGCATCAACACTTACCAGAGCAGGACCATACCTCTACCTTAAAATTCATTATATTAGAATGCATGCCACTGATTTGCAGTGTCATACAACTTGTCTATATAATGCTTTGTAAGAATATGAAGGGCTAGAGAACATATGCCCAACAGGTGGTTTGCTTTTATTAGCTATGCTCACAAGATGCCTTCATGCATCTTGCAATAAAAAGGCAGCTTGTGTAGTCACACACTACCTGTTTCCATAACATCCAACAGCACAAACAATTTTGTCGTTGCATTTTTGAACTACTGCACAGCAAGCACTACACAGCTGAATGGTAGAAAACTTTGGAAAACTCTCATTTGTCCATCTATACTATAGAACACTCTCAAAACTTAAAACAAATTTCCATTCACGTGAGAGGATAGCTCCTCTTATTGCAATAGACAGGACAACAGTGTACAAACAGAATGGTATGAAGACAGTAAAATAAAGCTTAAGGAAGCCACTGTTCACTGCAATGATGCAGAATATCTGTGTCACAATAGAGAAAAATAGAGCACAAATAAGAAATATTCCTACTTACCAATCAGTGTTTTCAAGCACTGGCCTGATGCTGTATCCCAGATTCGACTATTAAAAACACATGAGAATCATTACATTTGTTTTGTTCTGACTTTAACATTACAAATACAAGCTTTTTTTGAAACCTCCTTTATGTTTAAATGCAAAACGTTTGAACAGGGCTGCAGACAAGAAGTAACCACTTACCAGAGTCCATCATAGCTACTTGACACTATCAGGGACCCATCGCGATTAAAATGCACCTGTAATAGTATAGAAGGGGAAAAATAACTTTGCTGATGTTCATAAAGGTCAAATTTTTAAGCTCCACTGAATGTACTTATCTTCCATTACTGACACTGCAATTCATGTGGATAGAAGCAGAAATCCAACATGACATACAAACAATAGGCATGAGTTTAGATGGGTAACACCATGAAAACCAAGACTCTTCCCCCCACCCCAGTTTGTCTGGCATAATTATAAAGAGGGATGGATGTTAACTACAGCTGTTTATTCAAGTACCAGGGACTGGAATAAATGTTTCTTCAGAAGCTGAAAAGAACACATGAACACACAGATACTCTGTTCAGACAGCATTAGCTGTTTGAATTATAGTAGTATCGAACCTGGGGATAGTGCCTTGTAATTTTAAAGGCAGGGAATTTAACCTCATATGTAGCCACATATATGTTTTAAGGTCAATGTATTGCCTTGAACTACACATCAAGATACTGCTATTTTAAAGAATAATTACTACTAACATACATTTGCAAGTGTGAAATATCTTCCACACAAGGCAGAACAATCATGTTACAACAGCCATGGTGTAGCGCATCTGAGGCTCAAATTTTTTTCAGTTTCCTTCATTTCAAAAACATTAAGAGTTGAACACCTCCTGGTTTTCCTTCATTTGAATGGATATTGCTGTATTCCAAGCTCCTGTCACCTATTAAATGAATGAGATTTGAAACAGAGTATACTATGGAACTACCCTGTTCTGAACTTTAGTATTAGTTTGGAACAATACAAAAGCAACAGATGTACAGGTTGTTCTGCAAGCCTCAAGTGACCACAGATCTATGCCCCAGCATCAGACTGCCAGACCCAAGCATGACTATTCACTGCTTCCCACATTAACACCCAGGACTAAAATCCACACCCGCCTTGCAGAAAACACTGTCCATTTCATTCTCCCTGAGCAATGGCCACTGGCAAATCCACCACAGCCCATCCACTACACTGTGTAAGGGGTTGATAATAAGAGTTAGAGCACAAAGCCACTTCTCTACAGAGAGGTAGGAGAGGAGCTCTGCTAAAGAAAATAAGCATGTTAGTGCATTCATTTATCAGAAGGGACTTACAGCTGAAACTGGGTCAGAATGAGCCGGCAATGTCTTGAGGCACTTCCCTGTTTTCACATCCCATATCCTCACACTTTCATCAAACTGAAATTGAAGAAATACACAAGGTGGTTTAATGATGCACCTACTCAAGGCATGCCTACTCGAGGTGTTACAGCTTGACTAGATGCATGTGCCTTCCTCCAGCTGCACTGCAGCTGCATCAGAAAGCCTAGAACACAAGCACCACACAGGGCAAAAATAACAGACTGGGAATGTAGCTCCCTGAACTCCTCCTCTCCATGCAGGAAACCTGCATGTTGCGGATGGGTTAAGGGCTTGACTGTGTCCCCAAGCAAAGGCAGCAGTGGCTCTGTGCAGTTCATTCAACTGCGAGCTCTATTTGTGGAAGAAGACAGAGAATTGAAATGGTAAGCTGTTGTGATCAATACCCCCTGATCCCAACCCTTGGTAATGTGGCTAGCATAACTAACGCCATTTTATAAGGCAAGCAGCCATTCTCTGTGACTGAGCGGGTCACATATTCCTTCCCTTTCCCTCACCATGAGGCCCTGAAGACCCTGTGAACCAAGCAGACAAACTGAACAGATTTCTTCTTCCCCTCCCTACCAGCTCAAGATTCCTGGGCACCAGGCCGATTACTCCCTTCCTCGGCAGCCTTGAAGGTCCCAGGCATGCAGCCAGCCTGGTGCTGGTGATCACCCCATCCCAGAACAGGGAAGTGTAACAGCACACAGAGCCCTGTCTACAAAAGTCAAGGTCACGAGTGTTGAGCGGGGAACCTGGACCAGAACTGCTGCTGGACAGTGAGACCATGACCCTCTCGGTAGCCAGGGACTCTCCCACCATCATCTGCTTCCTCTGAGGATTTTGTTTTATATGATTTTCAAGTCTAGATTATGATTCTTATATTGATACAGCAAGCCATGTACTAAGAACTGCAGAGGGTCCAGGTGATTAGAAGTCATACTCTAAGTTAAGTTAGAACCTAGATGATTAGAAATTAAAAGTTAAATGGTATTATAAATTCTGTATTATGCTACCTACAAATTGTACTGCATTAATTCTGCTTGTAGAAATCCTGTGCCATTCTAATCGTAAATTCTGTGCTATACTAATTATAATATCCTGTTAAGAAAAAAAAACTTTAATTGTAACTACAATTTAGTTCCATCATCATTCTGTCAAGTACCCCTAAAAGAACCTGTCTGTCCCTTTAGTGTTAGGTGACAGGGGTGTGCAGTAAGTACTAGCTTTGCACAAAGGAGAAGAAAAAAAAAAAAAAAAGTCACTTACTGATCCAGAAACGATGAGGTTTGACTGAGGGTTGAAGTTGCAGCAGAAAACATAGTTACTGTGCCCTTTCAATGTCTTTAAGCACTTACCCTGAAATAAGATTCAGCAGAGTTAAATATACAGCATCCTTCAGCACAATAAATTAATTCAGGTAAGTTGCATTAAGGTTAATCACTGTGCAGCACACAAAGAAACCATCTCTAACCCCAGATTTAGATGGGCAGAGGACCAGCTACAGCAAAACAACAGGAAAATACCACCACCCCCCCCGCCGCCATTTTTAATGACTGCAGCCAAATGGCAAACCCTTTGGGCAACTTAGGGCAACCAAGCAGTTTAGCATACCTAATCAAAATTCAGCCAAATTATCCAGTTCTCATTGTAATCACAGAAAAGGAAGGGCAAGAGAAGCAAAACTAAGCGAAGCTATGACAAGAAGTTACAAAAAGGTTTCATCTGAGAGGCTGCTTTCAGAAATTAAGCCTGTGGTTGCATCAACACCATAACGCTTAAGAACTCTCAGAAGATAACCAGACTCCTCATGGTACCCATAAGCATCCCCCTATTTCCAAAAGCAGACAGCGTAACTCACTCATCCTCACAGCCCGTTTAACCAGCAGCTCATCATAAGCAGGAAAGAGTATTACCCAAAGAGGAGCCCATACTTAAAACTCTACCTTCTCTCATCATAACACATCAAGGCTGTCTCTCAGAAGAACATAAGTTAAGATGCCAATGCTGGGGAAAAGGAAGGTAAATAGTTTCTGCACTTACCGAGCTTACATCCCATATTTTGAGAGTTTTGTCATCAGAGGCAGAGACAAGAAGGTTGGAATCTGATGACCAAGCAACATCAGAGATACCCTAAAACAAAGGAAAACAATTCTCTTCTCAGCTCTGTTTGTTCACTGACACAGGAAAATAGAGAACACAGATTGCATATTATACTCACTGCTGAAGCTTGAAAGAAAATTCAGCACTGAGAGTTGGGAATTCATTGTTTTGACTGGGTTAGGAGCTCCTTTGACGCTTGTTCATTTTCAACTGAGCCATATACTCCCAAAAACATCAACGGCTTGTTCACACAGCTCTTACACTGTGGCTACCAACACCCTTTCTTGGAATTCATCAACAGTACGCTATATAAACTAATCTGAATAAGTGGCTTCTCTTTAGGACAAATGGTTTGCTCTTTACAGTCTGAGTCTCCAAGGGCTGGAGAAGAACAAGATTCTACTGGTTTTTCTTTTGGTGAATCTCCATTTGTGCTTATAAAACTTCAGCATGCAGAAACTTTAGAAAACAAAACCAAAGGGTTTGGGAGTTTGTGTTTTCTTTAGAACTTTTCAGAATGAGTAAGGTTTGTGTTTATGTAGGCAAACCCACAAGAAACATTCAATCTCCTTAAAAGGCAAGCCAGTCTGCTCCATATACAAAGGAAAGATGGAACAGGACACAGTGTTAAGAGTTTACAAGGCTTTTCACCCAAGAAGGCACTGCCCCATGTCTGAGGTTGGTGTCCCTGAAATGGATGGACTCAAGAAAATGGCAAGGCAGGGTGCACACAGGTACTTCATTATCAGCCTGCACATCACCCACACTTCCAGCCTGATCTGGTATTACTTCAGCAATTCCAGTCCCAGGCTGTTGCACAGGACTATAAACAAAGAAGTACAAATCAAGACTGAAGAACAAACCTTCTACACATGTCAAACTAAACAAGAATGGAAATTTCTGGATGAGGAAAAGAAAGCAAAATTCTTCACAAGGAAGTCTGTATTCAAGTGCACAGTAATCTCCTTCCTCATACTTACCAACTTATGACCAGATATTGTTTTTTCAAACTTGCCATCATATGCTCCCCAAATTTTAATGAGTTTGTCAGCAGCTGGAAAAGAATGTGACAGTTAAGATATTAACAGCACTAACAGATAAAGCTGTCCCTTCCAGGTGAAAATAAATATGTTAACTACATCTCTGCAAACACTGGGTAGTTGTCCCTCCCCAACCAGACCTAAGTGTATAAGGTAATATGTAATTGGTAAAGAACAGTTTCGCGTACATGCCAAGCTGCAGCAGCTGAGATTACATAAACTGCCTGGAATGCACAGAGTCTCCAGCTGCTTTAGTTTCTCTGATGACAATTTGGGTTTCTACTTTTGTTTTAGATTGCCAGTGGTAAAAGTAGTACTATCCCATGAGGAATGCTGAAATGCTTTTGCCCAAAAAGAACAAAAATTACATAAGCCAGAACAAAAATTACATAAGCCAGTCCAAATTAATGCCTGCAAAAACCCAAACATATTATCCATGTTAATTTGCAATACACACCAGACAAAAAGGCTGATATTTGCCAGAAATAGAGTTTGGACAATCTGGGTGGTAGAGAGGAGGGAACTTTCATAAGGACACTTGAGCATGAATATTATATATGGTACAGTGCACTGGTCTTATTAAGGCTAATTGCAGTTAAGCCAAAGACCTAAGTCATTCCCATGTCTGGAAGATGTTCATGTGGCCCTCACCATCATATTCAACAGTGTTCTTTTCAATTACCTTCTCCTTATATATAGATCCTCTCTGGATCACTGATGGTCATATAAACACATTTTTCAATGGAAAGTTGTCAAGCAATGTTAACTACCAAAAAAATTTTTGGAAATACCAAAGCTGAAAGGAAGAGGACTTGACCTACCACTTATGACAGCAAGTAGTAAAACACTATTTATCATAACCTTCTACACAGTTCACTGGGGTAATCAAAGGCTCTGATACATTAAACACCACAGGTACACTGACAGAAACACACGGCCAGTCCCCCGTATCACATTCTACAGTCCAGTCTAGTAGCACAGAGCTACCTTCCTTACTTCCCAGCGTTAAGCTTTTGCCTGCAGATACCACACACAAAGTTTAATTTAAAAACTTTGGCTATGTCTTTATCGATACAGAAAAGCACAAGGGTTTACTTTGCACAGGAAAAGAACCCTGGGTTTGCTTTTGCCCATTTGCTCAGTAAAGAAAGCTGAGCAGGTGAGGACTCTGCAACTTGGCAACGCACAGAAGATCCAGCGTTCAAAGTAAGGGAACTTAAAAAGCTTAAAGCAGATTATCTCAAAGACTGACAGCCTTGTTATTGTTCCTTTTAAGAAAAACCATGACATTACATCCCTCCTCCATCTGATGAAGGTAACAGGCAGTTCTCCAAGGCCCACATTTGCATGTTTTAAATGAGATAAAAAGAAAGTAATACTTACAGGAGCTGGCTAGCCACTCTCCATTAGGACTAAACTTTACTGATGAGACTGCCTTTGTATGTCCTGCTAACGTGAACTTTAGAGCATAGTTTGGTTTTACTGGTGCAGGCTGTAAGAAAAACATATACAAATGAGTTGAATAAACTCCAAATTTCGTATCTCAGTGACAAGCTCTGTATCAGACCAGGTCAGTACACAGTAATGGACTGCACAGATGTTCACCATTATAGAGATTTCAGCGTTTACATTTCCGCCCCCCCCCTCCAAATTAAAAAAATAACGGAACAAACACCCTTGCTGTCTGGGGCCAGCAGTGCCTTACTGTTGCATGCACAACACCAACTCATCCTTGATACGAATTTCATCCAAGCCAATAAATAATGAACAGGTGAGAGTAATCCAACAGTCCAACCATAAAGTGCTTGGTAGATCAAAATAATAGTCTTGGTATTGATCTGTGTAGTGCTTTTAAACGTTTGCAGTTTTCATCCTTATCATGAATTAAATCACAGGCCAATTCCTCCATACCCCTAAAATACCTTCTTTTTTTCCCTTTTCACCCTCTGCAAATGCTTCATGGTTAGGCAATAACATCTTTGAGCATCTGCAGGCTTCAAAAGAATGTGGATGACTGCTTCCCAACTTTGCAACTGCAATTATAGATTCACCAATTCTCCAGTCACCTCTAGGTATTCCAAGGATACAAACAACCTGCTTTTCTAACACTCAAAGTGACAAGAAGTATTTCTTTAGCAAGAACTTCCACAAAACCAAAAAACCTTAGTGCTGCAGAAGAGGTTTTACTCCATCCACTTTTCCCATAAAATCCTCAGCATGTTTTCAGCTCGAGACAACAGCAGAAGCAGAGATCCAAAGATTTTAATCTATATGAGAATTGAATTCTCTAATTCTGGTTTGCCTGTTGAATAGGCAGGTAGTTGCCATGAGTATTTACACGGATATTGTTGAGAGCCCCACACACACCTTGCTCTGATTGGTTGAGGAGGAAGGAGTAGATTGTGTTTTGGTGGATTCTGCATCTGGCTTCTTTTCTTCTGTTGCCATGGTTCTGAAGCTGGCAAATGAGACTTATGGTGCTTGAAGGGGAGAATGAATGTGCTGCTTCAAAAGGCAGACCTTGCCACAGCAAGAACCACACTGAAATGAAAACCTGGAAGAAAAACAAAATATTCTCATTAGCTGTCAAAAAGATTCTCAGCGGCTAGAAGAATGAGATTAGCCTAACTGCAGGTCACCAGAAACCAGTAAGAAAACCTGTATGCTCTATCTGTTTAACAACAGAGCAGTATTTTAGGCCTTCAGACCTATTAATGTGCAAGACCAAGAACCCAAGCCATAGCCTTTTATCACTTCTTGGAAACCTTTTCTCCACTCTGCTCCATTTCAAATGGAAATCAAGCAGAATAGTTTCTGGGTGTGGCAGGGTTTTCATATCATATTCCCCAAAATACTCCTAAATTCCCAGTACACAGTAAATACCAGTTTCTACAAAAGGTGGAAGGCACAGTCCACGGCCTTTTTTCAGGTTTATTAAGGTACAGAATAGAAGATCATAACAAACACAAAAAAATAACAATTATTTCCAAAGCTTAAGACCCTACTAGATTTCCTTCATCTCAGAATGCAAATATTTCGGTCTCATATTTCCCTCCTAAATGGTTTGAGCATCAAATCATACCCTTTTCCGCCCGAGACTTTCACCCGACTGAAAGCCACCCTTGTATTAGTCTCACCAGACTCGCTTTCTGTAACAAAACCTGATAAAGTGCTGTGCCAGTATTCGGTAATCAGGGCTGATGCTGCAGAGGGAACAAATCTCCATTGCAGCTCAGCTACGTTTCAGCTTAGTAACTGAATAACCTCCAGCTCACGCTGCAAGGATCCGTCTTCAAAGCACGCTCGCCATGCCCCACCACCACTACCATTCTTTTTGCGGGTGGCAGCAGATTTGGGAGCAATAGCGTTTGCTCTTCCAGCACCTACTGGCATTTTAGGCATCTCTTTCTCGGGAGGGTGCAGAGCAGAGCGCTACCAGTTGCCTGCCGGCTTTAATAAGCCCTCTCCACATCGCGGAGAAATCACTGGTCGCAACAATGAGAAATTAAAGTTTTCTAATGCAGATCAGGCCCTTTTCATCTGGAACTAATCTGGGAACTTCGGCGAGCAGGCACCCTGCTGCCAGCGCTCGGCCCCGCCTGCCCCGCGGCACCCTCCGGCTCCCACGCCCGAGGGGCTTCGCGGCGGGGCCACGCCAGGTCCCCCACCATCACCACCCAAAAAAAAAAAAAAAAAAAAAAAAAAAAAACCCAAAAAAAACGCCCAGCAGCGGCCCAGACCCGTCGCGGGGCACGCGGAACCAGCACCCCCCTCCCCCCCTCCGGGCTACCAACGCCCCTTCCCCGCTCGCCCTCGCCTCGCTGTGAGGAGGGAGATGGGGGGGGGGGGGGGGAATAGTTCCCTGCGGCGACACCGAAGTTTTTTTTGAGGGGGGAGCACCCCAGCCCGCCCGCATCTGCACCGCCCGCCGGCCCGGGGGTCCCCGCGCGGGAAAATTGGGGGGGGGGGAAGGAGGAAAAGGCGGGAGGGAAGGAGGGTGGGGGAGCGGGGTCCGCGTGCTGCCTGAGGGGAGGCGGCGGCGCCGCGCGCCGGGGAACGGTGGTTGCGGGAGACGGGGCGGTGAGGAGACGAGAGGGGAACGGGCCCGCCCCCGCGCCCACTTACCGGGGGAAGGGGGGGGAGGGAAGGGGGGACCGGCGGCGGCGGCGCCGCCACCTCCTCCTCCTCCTCCTCCTCCTCCTCTGCCGCGGATGAAGGAGGAGCGCGGCCGCGGGAGGGGAAGGGGGGGGGGAAAGGGGGGGGAACGCGGCGGCGGCGGCGGCAGCTCCGGGGCCGCCAGGCGGGGGGGAATGCGGAACGGCGCATGCGCGGTGCGGGCCAAAGGCTGCACAATGCCGCTCTCTCTCGGGAGCGCTACGGCAAGGCCCGAGCGCCAAAAAAAAAAAAAAAAAAAAAAAAAAAAAAACAGAAATCGGCGTTCGTGCGCGCGGGCGGTGCCTTAAAGGGGCAGGCGCCGCCTTCGCTTCGGCCGTTCTCCCGCCCTTCGCTGGGCCGGGCTGGGTGGCAGCGGTCAGCGGCTCGGAGTTCCCTGTCGTGCTGTTCCCTGCGTCGCGGGTAAGGCGCCCTGAGGTGCTGCCCTTGCTGTAGGGAGCGAGGACAGCAGCCGCCAGTGCTCTGCCCGGCCTGTGGTGTGGCGTGGGTCTGGTCGAGGCCCCGTCCAGCCCTGCGTGACATTCCCGTGTGGCACAGATCACCCACGGCACTGCTGGTCCCGCACACAGCCGGCTAACCCACGGGCATAACTCTGCTCCCACGCCTTGCAGTTGTTGGAAAACCGTTGGGTCTGGCTGCAGCGGGTTCCTTGGTGTCTTTGGGTCACGATGTGCAGGCCAGCCCCGCTGGAAACATCCACCAGTACCACAGATAAAAACCGTTAAGGAAAAGACCAAGCTAATCCATAACGCAGCAGTGTATATAATGCGTGAGGCTAATGCATGAACCATCTAAGAACGCAGTATTTGCCTGGGTGAGAGCAGATCTGGGGCGGTTCTCAGCGTACAAGGGCCCTGACTCAGAAGTGTTTAACTTTGATTTATTAAGGCCAAACAGCCAACTTAAGCATAGGTTTAAGCACTTTCCTGGAGAGCAGTGTTTTTTCCTAAACAACAACCCAACGCCACACAGAGCACATTATAGTCTGCTTTCAGTTAGGGGGAAGAAAAGGGAGACACGTGTCATTTACTGGCACTTTAACACAGGAAGATGTTGGGGCTCTAAAAATTCTAGTGGCAGTTGAGAAAGGAAAAAAAATCTGAAAAAAACCTGTGGTACAGTGAAGCCAAGGCCCTTCCTCTCCAGCCTGTAAAGCCACAGCAGGAGTCTGGAGAATAAACCCTGCCATCTAAACACAGGGAGGTGAAACATAGTTAGAAGAGCTGCACAGTCCCCAGAACAATATTAGGAAACAAATCCAGTTAAGTTCCTGTTGCTGATTCTTCCAGATGGTTTTGCCTTGAAGTTTTCACTCTTTTAAAAAATAAATACGAAATAAAATGAGAGAGCACAAATCAGATCAGCGGTATAATGCTATGTATTTATATACCTTTCTTGTGATAGGGGTAGGGTGTTTTTCTCATGTTGGAGACAGAAGTTTGTATTTTGCCTCTCAGTGTCTGCTTTGGAAGTTTTTGCCTGATATTTTCATATATATATGTATACAATACATATGTATGCATGTATAAAAATTCTTATCTATACTGACTAATACCTCTCAGGAACCTGAAAACCGTAAGCCTTGACTACAAATTAATCATAAACAAGTTGTTGGCCTCTAGGTCTCCTGGATTTTTTTAAAACAAGTATAAAGCATGATAAACTCCATTTGGTAAAGTACTTGGTCACATGCTAGACTGGGGTTTTGACAGTATGGTGCTTGCAGAAAAAGGCAGCTCAGCAAGCAAGGACGTTTCTTTGGGACTGCGTAATGTGAGTACCTAGGGATTTGCACAGACAGCACATTGTCTTTGGATGAAATTTAACTTGTTGGTTATTAGTCATCTGTGAGGGTCTTTCTCGCTCCCCCAGCCATGCTGCCACAGCTGGGATCAGCAGGATGTGACATCTGTCCAAATTCCCTCTCTGGAAAAGAGTGGGGTTTGGCAGGCTTCTCCCTCACAAAATCTTTCATTCCATTTAGTTCAAAATAGCCTGAACTTGGTGACCTGCCAAGTACACTGGAAAAGACACCTGCCTGAGGTTTTTATGGGGGAGAACAGCTTCCCATAATGATGAAAGGGAAAGAAAAGCTCATGAGTGGCTCAGGTTATATGGAAGTGACTGCTTTCAGTGCTGCTGGGATCCCTTTGGATGGCCTTAAGGGTGACAGGAACAGAGCTGAGGCCATGGGTCCTGATATGACTAATGTATACAATTTTGTCATAGGTACTACTGAGACCAGAACTAATCCAGTCCTGCAGATTTGATCCAAAGGACATTAATGTTTGTGGAAAAGCTCCCACTAACCTCAGTACATGCTGGATCTGCTCTTTAGACCTGACTGCTGCAAACAAGCTAACTCTTACGTTTCCAATGGTGAGTAATAAGGCACTAAGCTTACAAACTGTGTAAGCCCATGTTTATGTTTTGGCACAATTAGCAATCTCAGGACTTTTATTTGCTTAGGCCTCTCAGCAGTCAGAGGAAGCACAGAACAGACTTACTGTATGTTACATGCTGCTCAAGAAACGGAGGGAGGAAGAACTCATGAGACCTGCTGCATCTCTTAAGGGCTTTTAAAGAGCAGCTGATCTCTAACATATAGCTGTTTCTATGTGGTTGCTAATATGCTGCTCTGTTTTTTTCTAAATACATGGCATTTATATGTTTCTTCTGGGATTTAAAAACAAACACTGAACCTTTTCCAAGCTGATATTTCTACCTCCCCCACTACAGTATGAACCTTGCTTGCATCACTGCCAACATTTGTTCTTTTAAAAGTAGAAAATCTTACCCCAGTGGAGAGCAGGTAGGATTTGACTCATTCTGCCCTGGGAGGGATGTGTACAAACACTTAGCCTGGGCATGAGGGGCCTACGTTAGTTGAAGAACTTCTTTCAAAGTAAAATCATTGAAGATGGCATGTATAGAGCTCCATGTTAGAAAGGATCTGTTAAGAAATAGTTGATGTTTTTGAAGATAAGGTAGGACTTCACACAGCAATGTGCTGTAGTGTATCATTCAAAGCAGATTCTCCCCCAATGCAAGTCACAGCCAAGTTAATGCAGAAAGGCTGCTGATTTGAGAGCCCCAGACTGAATCACACACCGTCTGACTGCCAGACATGATGACAGCCTGCTTCTCCCAGCCACTTCAACTGGAGCAGCAGGTTCTCAGCACCTCTGTGAATCAGGAGCTTCATTCTTGGCTGGTGTAAATGGTTGCAACTTCAATAAACGGACAGTTCAATACGATTAACTCATATCTCTGAGACAGTTCTAGTGAAAACTGAATATATTTATCACTCAATGTAATTTAGAAATCAAGATGTTTGAAAATATTACTATTTGGTCAGAGCATCTCATTACCATTCTCTCCAGTACTTTGTAAGAGGGCAGGAGAAAAAGTAAGAAAACACACAGGAATCCATTAGGGCTTTAGCCAGCTGAAATCTAGGATGTTCCAGCATCTGTTAGTTTAAACTGCCAACTCAGTAGCACACACTATTCACAAGTTTGCTTACCTGTGCAAACCACTGTGTTAACAGCAGGTGCTAGGTCTCTGCATCACACTGAATGTGTACCAAAACCATTTAGATGCAGCTAATTTTCAAATAAACATATTTACTGTGGTCAAAGATATGCAGCCATAGTGGCTGGGCAGTTTCTTTTCACTTCTCAGATTCCGTGGTCATGTCCCTTTCTTCTCTCCCACAATAGTTTAGGCCTTTGATCTGCTTCTTTCCATACATATAAATCTTAGCCCTCTGTATCCCAGCCTCCAGCTCCTCCAAGTAATGCTTCTTGTTACATCCTGATAAAAGACACCAAGGTCAGATAGAATATTTTGTGGGGTCTTCATTCCCTTCCTCTCCATTGCAGGGGAAACCATTCATCTCTGTTTCTCTGGTTTGAGAACTGCCAATCTGAAAGGACATTATTGAAATCCGCGCCAGACCCTCCATTGGATATTGGCTGTCTCCAGACCAGCATTGAGATCATAATCAAAGCTTATATTTGCAGATGAACTCTTAGAAGATCCTTTGGGTCTTGCATAGCTCCGTTCTTTCCTGCCTTCCCATCAATTACCGTAGCGCTGTGACTTTGGGGGCTTGTAGACATCCTGGCTCCTGGGTTCCCTGTTTGGGGGCTCTGCTCACCCATTTCCAGATGAAGAGCGAACACTGAAGAGACAAAGGTCCTGTCAGCACTGAGTAGGCAGGGTGGCCTCATCAACTGGTGTGTCCGGGCTCTCAGAACTACAAAGTATGAGTCAAAAGGGCTGAGCCCCTGTTCTGGCTCTGCCCATGATTTTCTGCATCATCGTATTCCCTCTCAGCTTCCTCAGCTGAAAAACAGGGCTCGTAATATTTCCTTACCTATAAAAGCTGTTAGGAGGGTTATTGCATTGTTGTGAATTCCACAGATGAAAGGTACTACTAAAGAACAAACTGCAATTATTGTTTCAAACCTCTGCCCTAGTCCTGTCATCCTTAAATTACTGAATAACGCTTACTCAATCAAGGAAATCCAGCCACTACAGTGAGAAAATCATTGGTAAAGATGACTCTGTTGCAATAAGAGCATTTATCCCCTTGTGTTCATCACCCTTCTCTCTGCCACTGGGATGATTGGAGTCATATAATCCCAGACATTTACTATACGCGCTTAAGCAATCTTCTATTTGGGCACTATTATTTCTTTATCCCAAACATGACTGTTACTGAATAAAATCTCTTTTTGTAATGTATAAGGACATCCACTCCGGAGATAGCAGCTGCTGGTAATAGGCTGTGCTGTGAGTCTGCTGTTACGTGAGTGCTTTTGGAGCTCATGGTGGCTGATGGCTGACAAAATGGTCAGAATGGCCAAATTTGCCTGCCTTGAGGCGTGTGGAGCTTGCATCAGCCTTTCACGTGCGTGTAAATGTCCAGCGTGCCTGCGGATGTGCCCAGAGATGGATGGCAGAATGCATTGCCAATGTGGTATTCATACCCCTGCAGCAGCCTTCTCCACCAAACACTAACAAAGAGCTCCCTTGCAGCAGGGAACTGTGGTGTTGATGGTGGAACAGGCACTGAATGGTAAGGTAAAGAGTCAGAAGCTTACAGTTAGTACCTATAGCAAAGGTCAGAAAAATTGGTGCTCCAAGTTAGCATTCCTAGCGGTCCCTGGTAACTTAAGTACTGTTGTGTGCAGTCACAGAAGGCACTGAGTGTGGCCAATTCTCACAGAACTCATCAGTTCCAGAGAGACAAGAATCTCCCTTTTCTGCTTCTGTTCACGCTTATTTTCAAAAGACTCGAGTCTTACCCTGGACACCAAGAGCAGAGAAGCAAAGTGTCAGTGTTGAGCAGCCCTGAAGACCACTCTGGTTTTGCACAAGTAAGATTTTCTCATCAAAGCCTATGCATAAAGCTTCCTAGAAGGATGTACGTGCCACTGTGCAGTAAGGATTAAAAGTAGTGCAATAGCAAGGAATAAATACACTGCAGGTGTTAGTTAACAAGGCACTAATTGGGTAACTGAAGGTGCAACATAAGAGACCACAGAGGCTAATCAAAAGGCTTTGGGTGAATCTAGGATGTTCCTCTGAGCTTGGGGAGGAGGCAGTAAAAAGCAACTGCTGTAGTCTTGTGTTTTATGGAAAAGCTAGGATTAAGATATCCCAGAACAGGCAGATTTTTGTATCTTGTGTGTAGAACTAATGACAAAATTAGTTCAGAAATTAATTTAAAGATTGCAGCTATGTTTTCCTCAGTCTAAGAGCTTTTACTTTGGGCTAGGTAACTTACGCTTGGATCATTCTGATTTGATTTCATTGCACCTCCTATGGGGCTTATTCAAACTAAGTCAGCCTGTGCCTGTTTGGCTCAACTGCTATCTAAACTTACTGCCTGGCATAAAGGCAGCTTTAAGGATCTCTAGAATATGTTTGCTTTCCTATTCCCTTGGAGGATGCAGCTGGGTTCTTCAAGTGCAGGTTTGCAGACATATAGGTAGGTTTGTGAGTGACTGGTATATTCCAGGTTGAAAGCTGGCAGTGGTGAAATCTCTGGGGACAGTTTCCCATGCGAATTGTTTTGCCTGTTCAGCCTGATGCATAATGAACAATTTGGGATAAAACTGTCTTACACCCACCCGGGGTGAGATGAGTAAGTATAAAGTGTAGTTGGAGAGACTGCTTTGGGGTTGCAGTTTTGACACACCCTCCATCGCCAAGCTGCTCTTAAAAGTGGACTTGGAGTGAGGATCAAACTCCAGTTCTTAACTTGTGCATATTCACTGTGAGGCGACTCCACTCTGCCAACTTGAAGTGCTTTATGCTTTTGCAGGGACTGTCCTAGCTTCTCTTGTCTCTGCACTTTTGCCTGTGCTCACCCATTTTGCTCAGCTCCCCTGTTGTGCTTTCTGTGTGTTGCTGAGGTTGCTGAATGCTTTGCGTTATGAGACCCCCTGTTCTGTTGCTCATAGCTCTGCCAAGTCTTACATTTCAGCCAAAGCACTTTTTTGTTGCAGGAGTTTGTCTCAAACTAAAATACCAATACGTGTAAAAAACAAACTTTTAGATCGTGGTTCAGCTGAAAATGAGTCTTTAGTGAAAGGTATATATTTTCCCAAGAGTTCATAATGAATACTCATCTTCTTACTCCCTGCCCCCCTCTCTTGGAAGGCTTCAGCCTGCCAGCTTTTCCAAGCCCCCCATGCCTAGAGCGGCAGCAGTTTTCATTTAGGAGCTCTGCAGACATGCTTGTGATTTGGTGTCTGTGTATGTTATGGCATTCATAAATTTATACTCTCTTTTTCTGTGTGGATCTGGCATGTACTGGAGCAGGACAGTGTGTTCAGAAGAGCTGATTCTTCAGCTCTGGAATGCTTTGATACATACATATTCTTTTAGAATTGCCTTGAAAATGGGAATACAGCAGAATGATGGTAAAAAGTGCCCTGTGCATCAAAATCCAGTCCTCCCCTGTACCCCTGGTACCTGGCATCCAGGACACTTGTAGGCAGGGCGGAGTTCGGGTGGTGTTTCAAAGGGATTTCCTGGTGCAGTCTGGTAACATGGAACATATGACAACCCAGCTTGTGAAGTGTGGCTGTTCCCCTTAAGAAGATCCAGAATGTACCTTTTACTGCTTGCCTGCTCTGTGTTCTTGCAGAGGCCCTGTGCTCTGGGTGTGGAGGGACTGAAGTGGCTTTCGTGTACCCGATGGTCAAGTCAAAAAGGGCAAGTTGCAGGAGGGAAGCCCCAGGGACACGCTGACCAAGTGTGAGGTTTGGGTGTTGATGCAGATGCAACTTCAAATGCTGTCTCACAAAATAAGTGCGGCTGAGAGCAGTACGGCTGTGAGTTTCTAGTTCCTGAATTTGCACAAGTCTTGAGTGCAAAAAAACACTTTTTCTTGGGTTTGGTTAAGGCATATGAACAACTTTGGTTTCATCCTGAGGCAGCCACGAGCCTGGCTAAGTGAAATTTTCCTAAGCATCTGTCCTCTTGCCCATGCAAAAACCAGTCTCATTATATCAGATCTTCCTGAGAAATCGCAGTCCTGTTGGTCACATTTTTCAAAAGCTAATCATCTGGAAATAAGGTCTTCTAGTAAAACTGCCTTCACCTTATAGTTACAATAAACTGACTTATTAATCGGCATCACTGCGTGGCTCTCCGTAGCAGGCAGCGTGGCAGCCTCTGCTGGCGTATGTGTCCAAGGAGAAATTCTTATTTTATGTTGGCACTCAAATGTTTCCCCTGGACTCATTTATTTTCCAACAACTTCTTTTTTTTTTTTTTTTTTTTTTTCCTGTGCTGCAGGCAGGGACTGAATCATATTTGGGGTTGTAACAGTATTTTTTTTTTTCTTTGTTTGCATTTGTAGATTTGCTTCAGGATGTAGGCTGTGTTGGTCTGTTACTTGGAAGTGTTTGTGTCTGTAACAGTATTCATGTTTGTTGGTGCTCTTAGGGTGGGTGTGTTTGTAAAATGAATATTCTGGTTTTATGGTATACGTTAATTTTTGTTGTTTACAGCAGTTGGCAATATTATGAAATGCACTAACCAGTGCAAACTCCATCGGGTTGTGGGTTTTCTTGATTTTTTTCTTTTTTTTTTTTTTTTTTCTTTTTGGCCACTTGCTACTACAGCTTGTATTGGCGGCGTTCTGTTTTTATTGCAGCTCCTATTAGTTGTTGCGTAATAAATGTGAGAGCGCATTACCCAATGCAAACCGCGATTTAAAAAAAAAAAAAAAAAAAAAAAAAAAGGAGGGGGGGGAAGAGCAAGCTAGCTCCCACAGTTCTGATTCAGAACTCGGTCTCCCACAGCACGCGTGACCCTGCGTGGGCTGCCGCCGCGGAGCTGCGGGGGACCCGCGACACTTCCAGTTGCACTTTTAAGGGCTCTTCTTGTACCTCTAGAGCCCGAGAGGCGCGACAGCGGGCGGAGGGGGGGAAACCGCGATTTTCCCCGGCAATATTTGCCCAGGGGGGACCCGCCCGCCGCCACCTCCCCGCGGGTTTTTCTCACGCTTCTCCCCACGAAACCAAGAGAGGAGTTTACCCAGCGGAGGGGAGCGCGTTTACCCACCCCCGGCGCCCCCTGACCGGGGCATCACCCCTCGCTGTTTCTCTCCCCTGCCCGCCGGGCCGGGGAGGGAGCGGGGGGCCGGGGGGTGGGGGGGTGGGGGAGAGACACACACCCGCTGCCTTCTGGGATTTGTAGTCCGGGGGCCGGTGGCCGCTTCTCCCCCGGCTCGGCCCGGGACTACCGTCCCCACACGGCCTTGCGCCCCGGCGCATGAGCTCTCGGGCGCTGTAGCGCATCTATTATACTGCCTTGCCGAGGATAAAAAGAAGAGCAACTGGAGGGACTATAAGGCAAACGTTGCTGGAGCTGCCGGGGCAAAGTAATCTATTTAATCTTTCCCTTTATTTGTTAGATGCTTGGGTGTGCATTGCTAGCACTGGGCCATGGTTTCTGGAGGGAGGGGGGCCGGGGAAGAAGGGGGAGGAAAGCAAAACCCACTTGGGAAAGGCCAATGCTGATTTTTTTTTTTTTTTTTTTTTTTTTCTCTCCCCCTCTTCCCCCTCCTCTCTTCTTCTGCTCCTTCTTCTTGCGAGAGCCCCGCGTCGCTCCCCGCGGCCCCGCAGCCTTTGTGCGCCGCGACAATGCAACAAAGCGCGGCGGGGCTGGCTGCAGCCTGGCCATTGATTTCCTCCCGGCCCCGCCGCTCCTGCCCACCCTTTTCTTCTTCTTCTTCTTCTGCCGCTTCTTCTCCATCTTCTGCTCCCCCCTCCCCTTCTCGCCGAGCGCCCGAAGACGCCCCGGACGGGCGCAGCCCCGACCCCACGGAGCCCCGTGTCCCCACGCAGGAAGGGTTTTCTTTCTTTCTTTCCTTTTTTTTTTTTTTTTTTTTTTTTTTTGTTTTGTTTCTCTTCTTCCCCCTCTCTCGCTCGCTTTCCCTCGCTCGCTCTCTCTGCCCGCCATCTTTTGAAGGGGAAAATTAGGGGCGAGGAAAAGGAGGGCTGCACGCGCCCTGAAAAAACAAGGAAAAAAAAAAAAAAAAAAAAAGAAAGAAAGAAAAAAAAAAAAAAAAAAAAAAGGAGGGGGGTTGTAAGAGCTAAAAAAGGAGGGGGGGGAAAAAAAAAAAAAAAAAAAGCGGGGAGGGGGACACACACACGAGTGGGCAGCAGGAAGCCCCCGCTCCCGGCGGTGCGCGGCTCCGGCGGCGGAGCGGGGGCTGCTCCCGGCCATTTCCCGGTGCCCCCGCCGCCGCCCGGGTCGCTGGCGGGTGAGCTGGAAAAAGGTCTGAGCGGGCTGCATAGGATGCGCCGAAAAGTGCGCGTTTCGCGGGTCGTCCGTGTCCGCATGCATGTGTTTGTGTATATAGCCGCAGCTGCTTTGCTCGTGTAAATATCTGGTGTTTACCGAACTTCTGCAAATAAATGGAAACCAAGCGTTCGTTGCCTAAACTTGATACGCTTTAGGTGTAAAAAGAAACGCAGATCACAGATTTATATATAGAAGTGTCACGCTATAAATAATGCTACCGATAATAAAATGTAAAACTTCCAAACTCAGCTGTACTTTTCCTCCGTTTATACTACTTGTTTGTTTTTTGCACCTCCCTGGGCGCTGGGGATAGAGCATTATTTGTAGCCTGCTTGGTTTCACTTTCAAACAAAGCTGTAGTGTTCAGGTCACAGATCTATGCGCGTCTTTAAGCTACATGGCTCAGTCTTGCAGGGTGTTAATAGGGAGTGTGTTTCCTACAGAAGTGACTTTTGACAACGTGGAGCATGCGTTCTGTGAAGTTCATGCTAAATGTTCTGTGACAGTTCCGTGGTGTGGATATAACTTTTTGTTGATGTCTTCAGGAATCAAAAGTTACTAAAATAAACTTTTTTGGATAAGCAAATATGATGGCTTCACTAATACTTTGAATGTTTATTTATTATTATTATTGTTGTTATTATTTTTACATATTAAGTTCTTTGATGCTAATAAATATTAGGAGGTGACACAATTAGCAAAGCACACCTGCTATTCCTTGGTGGGAATAGAGAATTTTTTTTTTAACATGCTTGTTAGCATTTTCAATGTGTTCAGTATATTAGAGTGTGCTGATGGGGTGTCTCTGAATTAAACTGGAAATTTAGGTTTAAAGGTGAAACTCTTGTCTTTAATTCATGTGGTGGTAAGTCAAGGTATTAGAGAAGACTTGGTGACTACCATGTGTGCTGCAGTATATGGGTGAGAAGTGCAGAATAAATATGCATCAGACAAGAAATCCCCAAAGCAGCCTGGTTGCTTTACAGGCAAAAAAACCCTATCTGTATTGCTTACAACTACCCAACCGCTTGAGTATACTGTAAATGTGAAGTCCTGCCTCCTAATCTGCAGATTACAGCACTGGCAGACTGCTGTGTGTCTTAGTTTGTTAGCACAGAAGTTTGGGGAGTTTTTAACAATACACTGGGAGGCTCCTGCTGAAGCAGAGTAACTCCTGACCTCAAAGCCTTCCTGTTTGGAAAGAATAAATGCTAAGATTGAATATTTCTTTCTCTTTAGTCCACACTGGTTAAAAATACTCACTCATGCATGTATTTAGTGATTTGAGACAGTGCTTAATAAAAGGGTTGGGCAGAGGATAACAGTCTTATTCAGTGTTCAGCATAAGCTTGATTGCAATATTGTTTTATATACTCACTGCCTATATAGTGCTCAGTGCTGAGACAGTAGCTATTCCAATGAAAGGCTTTTTAGTTTTAGTGACCTATGCATGCAGATTTTAAATTATGAAAGAATGCATGTACAATGCAAAGTGTCTGAGGTTTGTTCTCAAACTGACTTTGGAGTGTTAGTTCCATTATCTTCAAATAAAAACTACGCTCCCTTGCTTCTGGAAACAAAACTTCCATAATATAAGCACTGAGGTGCTTTCAAAAATGCTAGTTCTTGTAATTTAAAAAATATTTAGAAGAAGAGTGTATTGGAGAAGTCTGATGTTCCAGCTGTGTAAGCGTACTAGGCAGCAAGAGCTCTCACTATCTGTCTCTAAAGAAGGCTGGTTTTGTTAGTGTCTGCAAATGCAAGTATGTCAGTAGGCTTTGTAACTGGTTGTTTCTTTGCGGTGTTGTAACTGCACTGGATACAATGACTTAAATCACAGTTCTTAATAATCTTGCAAAAGGCTTCTTTCCTGAGTTAAGAACTGTGTGTTTAAAACTTTATCCTTCAGTCATCTCCTAAAGCCGTGGGGAGTCTAATGGAGGTTCTTGATATCCACAAACCATGTCTGAACACCAGGGATCCAGCCTCCCTGACCTGAGGGTCTCTTCCCCCATGAACCTCAGTGAGCTGAAGGCAGTGCACGCAGATAAAGCAGTTTGCCCTGGTGCAGGCTGGGGCTTCCTGTAGTTTTTCAGACACATCTTGTAATTAATACAAGTTCTGAAAGATGCTGTTTAATATTTAGCTCTTAGGTTTGGAGGAGGGGGGGAGGGGAGCACTTGTGCAGTGGGTTGTGGGTTTCCAGCCAAGCCCTGCTGTGCTCCTAGAATCTCGCTTCTTCTCCCAGGAGTAATCTGGGAGCCTGATCGCCCTCCTTGACAGCACAAACAACTTGGGAGTCAAATCCCTCTCCTCAGCAGCAGCTGAATGATGTAGTGAGGTCTCATGTTTCAAAGGTTTAATTACTTTTACAAAATATATTGCTCTGTCTACTTTGTTAAGCTATCAGGTGCTTTCAGTGCAGAGGGAACTACACTTTGCTAAATAAATGAACAAAGAGTGTTCTGCATCTGTGTTGTTGATTGTTTCTCTTTAATCCTGGTTGCTCCTTCTTTGCTAATTTGCAAAATTCATTAATCCGCAGTGGGTTTCCCAGTCATTACCATGAACTGTATGTTTTGTTTTGTTGTGTGTGTTGTTTTTGTTTTGTTGTTGTTGTTTTTAATTTGCCACATTATTCTCCAGTAATAGCCCAAACACCGTTATAAGCAATAGAGTTCTGGGAATTAGGAAGGAGCCATTGTTTGCTCTGCTGCTCAGTGAGCTGTCAGGACATTTTGGAAGGATGTGTGCATCTCAAGCTTTTCATTCCACAGTATCTTACTGTGACATTAGTGTGTTTCTGTGGATCATTAGTGCTTGTTGGAGGTGAACAACTTTCTTTGGGGCACACTAACTCTTTAACCCACTTGTTGCTAAAGCCATCATTAGAAGGATTTAAATTACTTTGGAGAACACTGTGGAAATTCACTGTAATGTGCTACTTTTTCTACTGGTTCTTATTCCTTCTCCCCATTTGTCCTCATAAGATACTGACTGAAGAAACACTTATATTTTGGGCTCCTTTTGTGCCTTTCTAGTCCTCGGTCTCTTTGCAGCCTGAGTCTGGTAAGAAGACACCATCATGTCTGGAAGTATTTCAGCAACATGGATAACCTGGCCAGAGGAGATTTGTCTTACTCCTTTGCCAGGACCAGGGCTCCACGTTCTCCGCTCGACCAGCAATGAAACAGGTGTAGCAAAGACAATCTGAGGTGAAATTTCTGTGCATGGGGGACCAATCTGGAACAAAATGACCTGGCTGAGCTGATTCCATTTATCTTCAGAGTTTGAGATTTAGATTCAGTTCTGATTGACACTGTTCTGCTTTGGGAATAATCCTGTTTGCTCCTCTCTTTTCTTTAAAAAGAGAGTCAGAGACAGAAAAGGATTGTGATTTTCCTTGCTGGCCTTGAGAGCTGCTCCACTCCTGAAGTTCCACTTGAAGCACTTTACAGCCTCACTGCTATCCTTGCAGAGGACTTCATGCACTGGCATAGATGTATGAGCAGAGATGCACTTTGTGTGACTGACTTGCCTGTCATAACCCAACCCAACCTGTATTGAAGGAAAGGCACATTTCTCCTTGTGTAACTGTGTCTTTTCAACAGCTCAGCTTATCCTTGGGCGGCATTATGGAGGGTGCCTGGTTTGAGATCTCACTTTCTCATAGCCCATGAGTATGGCCCTGCCGAGAGAAATCTTGTTTTCTAAAACTGCACTGGTCAATAGGCTTGGCTATAAGCAAGTGCGGAGTTTGCAGTATTGTGTTATTTTGCTGGGATGGGACCTAGGACGTAGCAGCCTTTTTGCTTACCAGGGCTGGTTTAGGAACCATTATGTACTGTGGGCTATAGTGAAACCGATACGCTGAGCACGTGTGTGTTCTGTACTGTATGTGCAAGAATTGTGTGTGGGTATAATGGAGAATGCTGTTCCTTATTGGAAAGCATTGCCTTTTGCAACTTTTTTGTTGGTACTACAGTTCTGTTTAGGGTCTGTGAAATAGCATTAAAGTGCAGTTCTTCAAGATGCGATGGGATGGAGAGTATGCTCCCTCTAGTTTTTGCTGGA